AAAGGTGTGCACTGTCATGTGCCAGGTTATGCTACCACAAGCCTTAGTGGCACTGTAAACACCCTTTGCAGACTTCTTTAATAGCTCTGGAAGTGGACATTACCATGCCCACAGGGGAGAAAGGCTTTCTCCACCTTGTGAAACACTTTACACAGGATAGAAGTTGTTGCACTAAGAAATGTGACAAAAACCTCCCCCATGAGCTGATCAGGCTTCAGCATGACCTCTGGAAATAACATGAGGGGTTTCCCAGAAAGGCCACCCTGACCCCTGCATCGCTCCCATCTCCCCACCAGTTCCATTGGCAGTCCCAGCGCTCCCTGCCCTTCAAGCTAAGCAGCAAATCCTTCTAGACAACTGAGTGTCCCACTGAGACAGAGCCAATAGACACTCTATGCCTCTACCTCTCCCCCAAGCTGCTAAATCTCCCTCAAGTGTCCTTACCTGTCCCTCACAGCTCCCTCCCGCTGCCCCATCATTGCTCTGTTGTGCCCAAAGCCATCTGTGCCATGCCCAGGGGCTGCACACCTGAAAGGCAGGTGTTGGTGGAAGGGATTTTGGGATAGAGAAGAAAATTCATGCCCTGCAAAGCTCAGCACCCCCCACTCCCACCCATCTTGGTCCATAACTGCCCTGGGTGTGTTTGGTTTGCCCCACGGGCCCTTGCTCATGGAAGGGATGTGCCTTTCTGGCCTGAGGGCAGGTGGGCAGTTCTCATTCCTGACTTGTGTTCCCATGAAGCTCTGAGCAGGAGTTCCCTTTGCCTCTGCAGGTGAAGTGTGCAGTGAGTGAAACTGCCTTGTCCAGGCAGGCAGCAAGACCTGTTCCCTCCTCTCCTCAGTGGTGCCAGTGGCCTTGGAGGGACCTGGGGCTGCTCAGGGGCTCCTCCCAGTGTGGCTGAAGGCAGAGCCCATTCCTGGCCCCTTGGCACCCCCAGAGCAGCAGAACAGGACTGGGGGCTGGGCCACTTAGCACTTTAGAAACCATTGGTGCAGGAGAGTGCGGTGACCTGGGAATGCTGCTGGAGAGCCCTGGACTGCTCTGTACACTACACTGAAGGAGGGGATGGCTGGAGCCCCCCAGAGGAGCCCCTGCAGCCCCTCCATTCCCTGGCCATGATGCACTTTAGTTCTTGTGTTGTCCCCAGTGGGGGGAGAAGGGCCTCGGAGGAGACCAGGGTGCTTCAGTTACTCTGTACAAAGACTTATACACCCCCTGTAAATGCAGATTTCTACAAGCCCTAAAACTGTAAAATAAACAGTTACTAAACACACTTCCTGCCCTCCACAGACCAGGGCTGCCAGATCTGCTCTTGTGGCACCCTGGGGCCCAGAACTGGCACCTTCCCTGCGGTGGCCAGACCAGCTCAGTGTGGCCTCACACCCAGCAGCCCCGTGGGAAGAGGAGCAGAAGCAGAGCCAGAGAGTGTGTGCGTGCCCCGGTCACTGCTCTCCATCCATCCGCCTCCCTCTGGGCCGGTGCCAGGCCTTGTGTGTGCTCTGGCTCTCCAGGGTGTCCCCCCCATCAGCAGCGTGGGGCTGGAAATAGCCTGACCTGCCAGGCTGCCCTGTACCCCAGGCTGGGTGCCCGGCTGCAGGAGGAGATCCCGGGCACGGTGCCCGACTCCCAGGGCACGCTCTGCTGAGCGGGGGTGGTGCAGCCGCCTTGGCCAGGCTGGAAGCGGTTTTGTCTGGATGGCTCAAGGCTGGCAGCCCTGCTGGCTGATTTTAATTGCCTGTGGCTTGTCCAGGAGCCATTTACTCAATAGTGCTTGAATCCCTTTGGGAGGAACACCCTTTGGAAGAGTGGTGGCAGGAGGTATGTGGCACCTTTGGGGTAGCCAAGAGGCCACTGCCTCATGTGACTCAGAACCCGGCCAGTGGCAATGTGTGCATGTGCCTGTGTGGGCCGTGTTGGACATTAGACAAGAGCCCCGTGTGGCCCTGACCTTACCAGAGTGATGGAGGCAGTGGTGATGGCCAGTGAGCTCTGAATGTGGCCCAACAGTGCCCCTGCACAGAGAGGAATCCCATTACCAGGGGCTGCAGTGGCACCACACTGGAACATTGCTGCCCTGTGGTACCGCCCAGCCCCGGGCGGTGCTGGGGGCAGGCTGCAGACTTGGGGGGGGTCACCGTGCCATGGGCAGCCCCTGCACTTCTCCCTCCCTCGGAGACAGCCCGGTCCCCGGCAGCGCCAGGGCAGCGGGAGGGGCTGGCGGTACCCGGGGATGCTCTGGGCTCCTCTTGTTGCCGTGGCAACAGCTGCGGTGAGACTGGGGGCGGGGGTCTGCGTGTGATGCAAGTGGCGCGTGACCCCGTGGCCCCCCCGGGCCCTCCTGTGGGTCTGGATTAGCACCCCCGGTTCCCTCCCTCTCCAGTTCCCCCCTCCCCGATTACCCTCGGTCCCCTCCCCCGGCTGAACGGAGCCGGGGGCGGCGCCGGGATTGCCCACACACACTCGGGTGGGGCGAGGGGCTGCATGTGCACAGCACATACGTGCACATACGTGCACATGCTCACACTGCTCCCAGGGACGCCCAGCCCACTCCGACTCCCGGCTGCAGGAGAGCCCTAGGAACCGGGCTCAGGGTGGGAACTGATATGCCTGGGACCTGGATGCTGGCCATTGGGAATCCCACATCTCCCTGGAGACCTCACATAGCCCAAATTCCCCTGGGAGGAGTGAGGCAGCACAGAAGGAGCCAGAGCCGTGGAGAGCAGATCAACACACTTTATTCCATAATCACAACAGTCAGGATCATTGTTAGCCGAGGTTCTGCAGAGCAAGGGCCAGCCATGTCACAAACCCCCAAGACAGACCCAGATGGGGCCGTCGCTGCCCCTCGGCTAAAATCCTGTTTCTCCAAGATAACAGACACAGGGACCCTTCACTAACACAACACTACAAAGGTGACCCCGAGCGCTGGCGCCCGTCCGCACGCTGCGCCGGGGCCCCGCCAGCTCCGGGTACCCCCCGGCCCACTCGGCCGCCGCCAGGGCAGCTGCTTCCTGAGAGAGGTTTGGTTTATTTTTATTATTTATTATTACTATCATTATTATTATTATTATTCGCTTTGTCTGGAGTGATGACGGGATGCCGCACGCGCACGCACACACGCTCGCACACGCACGCCAGCCAGCACCGGGCAGCGGGGGCGCAGCGGGAGGGGCCGCACGCTGGGGGGGTCTCTAAGCACTACAACCACACGGCACAGAAAATCCACCACTGTCCACGACGGTTCTCCCTGACAAACACACCCGGCGAGACTCGAGGAGGGGGACAGGGGTGAGGACGGGGACAAAGCGGATGATGTTGTGCTTGCGGCCAGGGCGGGAGACCCCGGCACTGGCTCCGGTTCTGGCAGCGACCCAGAACCTGCTCCTGAGGAAATATTTCGCCTGACAGTCTGTGGAGGGATCACCCTGGCTCCAGGGTGATGCACAGCACGTAGGGGACCACTGGGACCCGTGTCCCCCCTAGGAACGGAAGCTGAGCCCTGAGCTGCAGGGTCAGCAAAGCACACGCGTGATGCGAGACCCTCAGTGTGGCCTCAGGCCTTGCTGGTACCTGGGGGCTTTGGCTTCCCCATGGACAGGGATGGGAGGGCAGGTGACTGTCAGCCTCAGCGCCCTCCCTGAGAAGCCCTGGCCACAGCACGGGGTGGCTGTGCACCCCAAGAAGGCACCGAGGTGCTGGGTGAGATCCGTGTGTGTTAGAGAGCTCTGGGGCCGCCGGACCCCGCGGGAACCCCAAACCCGGCTCACACATGGGAGGCGGCTTCAGATGCTCCTGGAGCGGGGCTGCCCAGGGGGTGGGAAGGCAAAGTCCCCCCGAGGCGGCGGTGAGGCGGGAGCAGGCTGCCAGAATCACGGCTGTCCCGGCGCTTTTTTGGCTTTTCCACCTTTGGGGGCGGGACTGGATCCGGTGGGGGACGGCCGGGGAGGGAGGGGACGCAGAGAAGAGGACGCGCTCTATCCAGGGAACACGTGTCTGATGCGTGATGCCCGCCTGGCTCCGCAGGCTGGCACCCGCACGGGGGTACCGAAACACCGTGGCTAATGCCAACACACACGCACAGCTACCGCTACACACCGACACATCTACACTGCTGATGGCTGACCATCGCGGGGGGCCTCGAGGGGTCCCCGGGGACTGGGCTGGGGGCATCAAACATCCCTGCAAAGGGCCCAGGGACACACCTCTCCCTGCGCTGCAGGGACCATCCCCACGGCTGAGCCAGGGCCAGCAGCAGCTCCAGCAGCAGGGCCAGGCACCGACTCCGAGGCACCCTCGGGGGATGCCAGGACAAGGGAGGGAGGGATGTCCTTCCCCTGGTCACGGCTCGGCCCAGCCTGCCAGCAAGGGGCAGGCATAGGGTAGCCTGTGACTGGGGGAACCGGCAGCCCCAAAACAGGGAGGCAGAGCCCCAAGCAGCGGGTGCTCTGCTGCTGCCAGCACCCCACTGGCAGGGAAGGATCCGAGGGGCCCCCACAAATCCAGAGTCCCTGGGGAATCGAGGTCATGGGGGACTGCAGGGGCTGCTTCAAGCAGCGATTGCTGCCGAGCCCAGTCCAGCTCTCGCAGACGCTGCCAGCCCAAACCATGACCGCGTCCCCGGGGATGTGTGCGGTCCCCACCCAGCACAGCTGTACCAGAGCGCAGCCCCTGCCCCCCAAGCACAGCCTGCGGCAGCTGCCGAGCCAGCACTGCAGCCACGTGCTCCCGGCGGTGGGAGGAGGCGGCTGGCGCAGGAAGGAGCCATTAGGAAAAGCAAAGAAAATCCCAGCTGGAGGAGCCGCTGCAGCAGCATCTTCCCTGCCAGCATCTCTCTGCTCTTGGCGTGGCTGGCAGCGAGCGGAGCCCAGCGCGGTGCTGTGTGGAGGAGCCCTGTGCCAGAGCATCACCCACACGCCCACCAGCACCGGCTGCAGCTGCTCTTGGACCACTTTGGGTGGTTTCTTAAGGCAGATTTCCCACAGCTGCCCTTTCCTGCCTCCATGCTGCTCCCTGCCATCCTGGCAGCACCAAGTGCCACGGCTGGGCACGGTGACATCCGTCTGGGCACGGTGACACCTGGCTCTGCCGGTCAAGGTCAGCCAGCCCACAGCAGCAGGTCCTGCACGGGCACAGGCTCCAAGGTTAAAATGAGGGCTGGCTGCTTAGTGAAGGGCTGGTCCCCACACAATTTTGGGGTGACTCCGGACAGGGGTTCCCCTCGGTGGCACAGCTTTCCCTGCACAACTGCCTGGCGAGAGAAACAACACAGCCTCCCGCGCCCACGTGCTCGTCACGTGTGTGCAACTTCACTCTTCCCAAAGCGAGTGGCGCGGAGCACACGCCACCGGGAACGAGTCACTGCTGTGGGACACTGCACTCCCAAACCAGGGACCCCTCACAAAACAGGGAGCTGGGAAGGGACACTTTGGCATGGCTCGGCATCCCTCCCCAAGGGCTGCAAAGAGGCAGAGGAGAAAATTGAAGCCATGCATTCGATGCAGTCAAAAAGCAAACGGAATCAGCCATTCTCCGAGGGATGGGGAAGGTGGGGCGGGCACCGAGAGCTGGGGTGGCGTGGATGCTCCTGCTTCCTGGAGGGCGGGAGGGCACACGGTGCTGGCACAGACGGGAGCGGCCGGGAGCAGCCATGGCTGTCAGCGCCGGGGCCGTGGGGGAAAGCGGCCGGGTGTGACAATGAAAACCCGATGAGATGCATTTCACGGGCAAGTAACCGCAGCGGGCGGCCATGCGTCCTGCGGGCACGAGGCGAGAGCCGGACAGACAGACGGATGGAGAATGGGTGTGTGCCAGGGGGTGGGGGGAGCAGGGGCTCTGCCTTCCAGCAGCTTCAAGGCAAAATACCTGATTCCTGCATGTAAACAGCTGGTTTCGGTTTGTTTGTTTGTTTGTTTTTTCCTGGGTTGTTTTTTGATATGACCTGATCGTGGGTGAAAATAAAAATGAGTGTTACCTGCAGAGCGTGGGACTCAGTAGGTAAAGACCAAGTCTGAGATGCTGGACATGAGCCAGTCCCCTGCTATCATCTCCGTCACCTCGGGCGTGCAATAGTCCGGGAACTCGAAGTGCGAGGAGCCTCCCCGCGGGTAGAGGTCGTGGTCCTTGTCGAAGACGGACCAGTCCAGGGCACCACAGGTGGCACTGGCAGGCGCCCGCCCGGGCATGATCCCCAGCAGCTCCTCCTCCAGCTCCTCGTCAGAGGAGCTGAAGGAAGAGGGAGGGGACCCAGCCGACATGGGAGAGGGGGACCCGCTCTCTGGGGACCGCCCTGGCTCCGGGCAGGGTGTGGTGGGGCTCAGGGGTGCAGGGGGCTCCTGGGGGCTCTGCTCCCCGTCGGGTGCCGGGTGCCAGGCAGCCGTGCCAGGGACCACAGGGTTGTCCTCAGCGGGCACCTCTGCTGCGGGCTCCTGCGGGGTGTCGGGGCCGGCGGGCAGCTTGGCGGGCTGCCTGCGGCCGCCAGAGACACGGCCCAACACCGAGGGCTTGATCTTCACTGGGAGCCGCGGGCGGGCTGCTCCGGTGCCCACCTTGCCCTTTTTCCGAGGCCGGTACTTGTAGTCGGGGTAGTCAGCCATGTGCTTGAGGCGCAGGCGCTCGGCCTCCCTGACAAAGGGGATCTTCTCGGAGTCGTGGAGGAGCTGCCAGCGCCGGCCCAGGCGCTTGGAGATCTCGGCGTTGTGCATGTCGGGCCACTGGTCCATGATCTTGCGGCGCTCGTGCTGGGACCACACCATGAAGGCGTTCATGGGCCGCTTGATGTGCCCGCTCGGCGTCTTGCACCAGGCGGGCTCGGTGTCACGGGCGGGCAGCGGGGCGCAGGGCTCCCGCCGAGCCTCCGCGCCCCGGCCCCGCGGGCCGCGCTGCACCATCCCGGAGCCGGGTATCCCGCCGCCGCCTCCGCCTCTTCCTCCTCCCCTCCCGCCGTCGCCTCCCTGCCCGCCGCCGCCGCCTCCCCGCCCGCCGCTACGCGCCGCGCCGCGCCGCCCCCATTGTGCGGAGCGGGCGGCGGCGGGGCGGGGCGCAGGCGGCCGCGACGGGGCCCGGGGGCGCACGGCGGGGCCGGCTCCGCCGGGGCGGCGGCTGCGGAGATGCTCCGGAAGGGCCCCGGGATGGCCCGGTGGTCTCCGGCTCGGAGATGCTCTGCAGCGGTTCTGTCCCGGAATGTTCTGCGCCGGTCCGAGGATGCTCCGGAATGCTCTGTAGTACCTCGAGGACGCTCGGTACCGGTCTGAGGATGCTCTGTAGCACCTCGAGGATGCTCGGTACCGGTCTGAGGATGCTCCGGGATGCTCTGTACCGTCTCGGGGATGCTCCACACCAACCCGGGGATGTTCGCCGCCGGCTCGAGGATGTTCCGGGATGCTCTGTAGCGGCTCGGGAATGCTGCACGCCGTGAGGGCTCCACCCCGGGGTTGCTCCTCTCCCCGCCGCCCCGGTGATGCCTCCCCGGTTAAGTCGGCAGATGCTTCGGTCGGGAATGGTGTAGGGTGGTTGCGGCAGGTCCAAGTGCGGGTCGGGGGTGCGCGGGGGCGGTGCGGGCAGCCCGGGAGCCGCACGCCCCCCGGTGCCGCTCTTATAGACACGGGCGCCCCGCCCCCGCCGCCCCCGGTAAACACCGCCGCGCCGGGTCTGTCAATGGACGGCCCCGCCCCCCGCCGCCCATTGGCTGCAGGGCGGGGGGGCAGATCCCGCTCAGCCAATGGGCGCCCGCCGAGAGGGGTTGCTGGAGAGAATGGCAGCGCGGCACGCCCCGGTACCCCCGGTACCGCCCGGCTACCCGGCACGCCCCGGTACCCCGGTACTCCCCGGTACCCCCCGCTAGACACGGCACGCCCCGCTACCCCCTGGTAACCGGGCACATTGATCCCCGATACCGCCCCCACGGCAACCCGGCAGTCCCCAGTACCCCGACCCGAGCAGCGCAGAACCGCCGGTGACACCCGGTGCCTTAAGACAAGCATCCCGGTACCCTGGTACAGCTCTGTGCCCTCAGGCACGCACCCGAGGATGCTCCAGCTCCTGCCAGTAACCCGCCGCTCCCCCAGTTTAGGCACCCCGATGTCCCCGGTGACCCTGACATCCACACCCTCGGGAGCACCCCCGCCCCTCGCGGTTCGCCGGGAGCCTGTGCACGGGTGTGACCGGCCGGAGCACCGAGTATCACCCCGGAATATGCGCTTGAACCCTGCCCTGCTGCCCCACCGGGCTCCCGGGACACCCACTGCTCCCGGTCATCCGGGCAGAGCCCCGGCCCGGAACAGTCCCCGGGCGCTCAATAGGGCTGGCAGCGCTCGGCGCCACGCGTTGTGGCAACACCGACGCCTTCGTGTCCCCGCCACTCATTGCAGCGCGTTATCTCCCCGTGGGTCGGCTCCCGGCGGGGACGGGGGCGCCGGGCGGGGAACGCGCAGCCCACGAGGCGGACACGCGGCTCCACGGTGGCGTGGGTGGGGCCACGCCCCTCCCGGTCAGGCCCCGCCCCCTCCGCTGGCGGCACCAATGGGGCAGCGGCGGCGGGGCTGTTGCCCCGGAGACCGCGGGCTGCCCGCCGGGGGCCGCGCCCATTGGCTGTCGCTGTCGCGCGCGGGCCCGCCGGGGGCCGCGCCCATTGGCTGCGCCGCCGCCGCCAGTTGCTGTGGTGACAGGGGACGGCGCGGGGCCGCGCCCGACCCGCCCGGGCACCGCCGCTCACCGGACCCTGCGGCTCACCGGGCACCGCCGCTCACCGGGCACCGCCGCTCACCAGGCCCTGCGGCTCACCGGGCATCGCCGCTCACCGGGCGCCGCGGCTCACCGGGCACCGCCGCTCACCGGGCCCTGCGGCTCCCCGGGCACCGCCGCTCACCGGGCACTGCGGCTCACCGGGCACCGCCGCTCACCGGGCACCGCCGCTCACCGGGCCCTGCGGCTCACCGGGCACCGCCGCTCGCCGGGCACCGCGGCTCACCGGGCACCGCCGCTCGCCAGGCACCGCCGCTCACCGGGCACCGCGGGCTCTCCCCGTCCTGCACTCTGAGCGGGAACTGTGGCCTGTCCCGACCCTGCCCCGGCATTGCGGCCAGCCAGGACACCGGGGCCTGCCCTCCCCGCAGCCCCGGGCGCTGCCCACGCCGTCCCGGAGCCGCGCTGCGCGGGGAACACCGCACAGTTCTCCACCGCGGCTTTGCCTGCGGGCGGCGCTTCCCCGAGTCGTTCCCGCTCGGTATAGCCGGAGGTCATGCCCGGCACGGGTCTCCCACATGGCCCTGGCAGGGAGAACCTGCTCGGCTGCTCCCAAACACCTCCGGTCTTAGCTGCCATCGTGCCGGCAGAACCGGCTGGGTGCGCATTAGCACGGAACCCCGTGCCGTCCAGCAACTCTGTCCATCCCCGTTGGTCCCGTGCACCGGGCCCGCCTCTACCCGGGCTCCCCGCGACAGCCGTTCCTCTGCTCCCTCCCGGCCCCGGCCGTTCCTCAAGCAGCCCAGGGCCAGTCCCGCCGGGCTGCTCGGGCTGCCACAGCTGCTTCCATCCCGGACACGCAGATGGAAGCACCGGTGGATGCCGGCCCGGTGATCCCGGCCCGGTGCGGTGGCGGGGCGGAGCCGGCAGGGGGCGTCCCTTCCCCCCGTTCCCGGGAGCCCGAGCCCCGCCCGGCCCCGAGCCCGGCCGCTGTCGCCGCGGGCACCGGCTCGGCTCACGGGGATCACGGGCATCCCCAGACACCTCAGCGAACAGGGGTTCCTGGAGGGCGATGGGGCCCGGAGGGCAGAGGGTGGGATGGTGAGGGTCAATGGGATGTAGAGGTGTCCCGCGAGGCACAGAATCTGCCAAATGGACAAAAGAGCGAGCCGGGAGGGGTTTCCATAGACCAGCAGCGGTATCACCCCTGCAACAGCCTACTAAATCCATTCCTCCGTACTGCCCCTGGCCCCAGCTGGCTGCTGGAACACCACTCAGCTTCGCAGAGCCACTCCTGTGAGGAATGGCACCAGGCACGGTGACAGATTCCTCCGTGCTGCCAGTGCAAGCAGCAGCGCCTGAGGGTTAGGTCAGGGTTGGTGCAAGGGGACATTTCCCAGCTCTGAGGAATCAGCAGTGACTGTGTTTCTCCCTGAGCAGAGGGTGAAGGCAGTGGTGCAGACCTGCTGTCAGAACCAGCTGGACACAGTGAGGGCAGAACTCCAGGAAATAGAAAAAGCAATGGAAAATAATCTGGGAAGCTGGTTGCACACATCCCTGTGAAATGAGTCTATACAGTCATGTTACCTTTGCTTTCCATCCTCGGCTAAAGACACTGTGTTGATCTTATAAATGTCAAACAATTCCATTTCTGAGAATGAATCCCATTTGCTCTGTGGGGAGGATCTTCCCACCAGCCTGCCAGGAGGGAGAGAACCCTGTGCTACATGGCAACCTGTGCTCGGGGGGGTCTGCTCATGGCATCATTCCTTCCTGCTGTATCCCAGCTCCTGCCCCCCAGCTGCACACAGGGCTTATTTTTAATGAAAATCTCACCCTGTTGGGCAGATCCTCACCCCACAGAGCAGCAGTGGTGTGGGTGTCAAGGGAGCTGCATCTCCTGCACCAGGGTCTGGGTTTTAGCTGAAAGACAGGTATGGCTGTAGCTATGGAGGCACAAGCTGAAGGAGGAGAAAAGCCTGGAACATGTCAGGAGGGAGGAGGCGAGTGGCTGCGTGATAGATTAGTGGAACTTCATTTTTTTCTGTTTTAAAAAAAAATGATAAAAAAGGGGAATTAATTAGCCTCGGCAGCTGGTGGGGCTGGGGTTACTGAGGGTGGATGGGAGAAGAGTTAAAAATAGCAGGAAGGCCCAAGTGGAAAGTTTCTGTAACATCACAAGTCAGGCATTTGGTGCTTACCCGCCCTGACAGGCGGGAGCCTGTGCCAGAGCCCTCTCCACCATCCTCAGCCCTTTCCCACTGACCTCCCGGCAACTTTTCACACGACATCACCAGCCCTTCGTTTTGCTAATTAACCCTTTGCTTCCAGACACTGGACTTGCATTCTGAAAGAGCAAATCCAGCCACGAGTTGCTTATCCTGGGAATGTGAGGGTGCAGAGGAGCACAGTGCTCCTGCTGGCCCTCCCTGGGTCCCTGCGTGTCGCTGGAGCCCAGAAGAGCTGTGACCCCCTTGTGTCCATACCCATCTGCTTTTCAGCTTCCCCTCCTTAAAAACCCTCCTGTTTGCAGAGTCCCTGGGTGGATTTTGCTGGTAGGTCTGAGCCCTATGCTGGGACACTCTGGATGCACAGTTTGTCCTCAGCTGAGACGGAGATGGATGAGGCAGCTCTGAGCAAGCCCAGCTTGCTGCACTTGTCCCCGCTGCGAGAAAGCAGATGTACCTGGCTGCTCCAGCGGGCTTTCTCTGCTTCTGTTTGTCTTTCAGGATTGACAATAAGAGCAGCTGAATTCATTCCTTCTCCCTCTCAGAGGCCCAGGAGTTGTGTCTGGCTCTGCTGCTCCGGGAAGGCTGGCGAGGCTGAGCCTGCCATACAGAGGGTGGTGGAGCAGGGCTTGGGCTGGAATTGATTTTGGTGGTTGGCAGAGTGGTCAGTGACTGTGGCAGACCATGAGGCATGAGAAAATACTGCTGGGTTTACTAGGGGTCAGGTTTGGCTCTGGTTTACACTGAACAGGAGCTGGGCACTACCCTCACCTGGTTTAAAAGGGTTTCCCTCTTCCCCTAGCTGCTTGCATCATCCCGGATCCCAGAACAAGCATTTGGGCTGACCCCACTGACAGCCAGTGCAGGATCCTGGGGACACAGAGAGGGTGGCACAGCTGACACAAAGCAGGCTCCAGCCACATTGTGCCCCCTGATGACAGGACTGCCACGCAGGGAACGGGACAGCTCTGAGCACAGTC